TTATATATATATATATATATATATATATATATATATATATATATATATACACACATATATATAAATATATATATATGTATGTATTTATATATATATATGTTGAACAATAAGAAATATTAAAAACTTAAAATCTTTAGACACACTGGGTTGTAGATTAATATTCTTTCGTTATTATTATTATTATTATTATTAATATTATTATTTCATTTAGATTCCTCGACTAGTTTCGGCCAACATGGCCATCATCAGGAGGAGAAATATTTCTGCTTGCTGGTAGCAGTGAACAACAGAAATGAATGTCTTGATGGAGAAAATTAACTATATATATATATATATATGAATGTCTTGATGGAGAAAATGAACTATGTGACACCATTTGGGAAGCAAAGAAAAGGAAGAAAAGAAGGGAAAAAATGAAATTTTGATCGTGACAAATGGTGAAAGGTTTCATTGCCATTGCAGAAAATTCTAAATAGATAAAAATTGACTGTGTCGTGGTGGCGGACTTATATTATCGGGAATAGATAACAGCCACTTGATGCTGGCGAAAATCTAATTGACACATTCCAGATCGGCTAGCTAAAATCCTGGACAGAATAGATAAACATTTAACTGTGTCACGGGACTGTCGACCACCCAAGAGCTAAAGAAAACAAAGGAAAATAGGTTAAGTCTTTGTCGAGGGAAAGATATCGTTAGACAAGGTTTGCGTTTTGTTAGAAAGGCGATAAGGGCGAAACAATATTATCGGAAAAGTTGGCCGTATTTGCTGGACGACCACCCACTCTGATAATTGGCGAAAATCTGACTGACGAAGTCCAGATGAGAATTGAGGTTATCACACTACTGGTCGCATTGTTCTGTTGGCGGCCAGAGAAGAAGAGAGAATAGAAAAAAAAAGAAGGAAAGGAAGATCAGTCGTTATCTATCCTCCATATCCTCAGCTTTACTTACTTACATACTCCTCTTAGATCCATGACACAATCTCATTCAGCAACGCTCTATATTGAGTGGTTCTTAGGGCTTGTATTTGATGAACATATGACTTTATTTTAATTATTCTGCTCTATGAATGAGTCTGATCTTCAGATCTCCAATGTTTTCCATCATTTCACGAAATTCTTTGAGACTGTTGTAATGGAATGTACCACACTTCCTATCGCCTATATGGACTGACTATATCAGTAGCAATAGATAGTGTGAACAGTATATACCTGGGGGCTTGCGTCGGAAATTATTTGGAGATTTATTTCCAGCTAAGCTGATCGAACTGTGTGCCTTTGGGCAGAGAGGAACTCAGACGAGGCTATGCCGAAGGGCAGAGTCTCGTCTGGGGTGGTAGACAGCTATCCGACCCCGTTTTTACGGGGTCTACGAGGAATTTTTGCCCGGGCCTACGGGCTCGGATACCCCACGTTAAATTCGGCCTTGTGCCACATCTGACCGCGTGGGGTGGTTGGCAAATATCCTTGCTTCAGAAATTAGTAGGAGATTTGTCTCCAGATGTGCTGGTCGAACTCTCTGCTTCCGGCATAGTGAAACCCATACGAGGCTATGCCGAAGGGCAGGGTCTCGTCTGGGGGTGGTAGACAGCTACCCGACCCCGTAAATACGGGGTCTAGGGGGAATTTTTCCCCGAGATTACGGACTTGGTTTTTCCCCGCATTAATAACGGCCTTGTGCCACATCCTGCCTCACGGGGAGTTAAGGTAATATAACCTTGCTTCGGCAATTAGTTGGAGATTCATCACCAGATGTGCTGGTCGAACTATCTGTCTTCGGGCAGGGAGGAACCCCAGACGAGCCTTTGCCGAAGGGCAGAGTCTTGTCTGGGGTGGTAGACAGCTACCCGAGATCGTTTTCTATGGGGAATATTTGCCCAAAACTACGGGCTATGATACCCCCACGTTAAATTCGGCCTTGTGCCATTCCTGACCGCGTTTGGCGGCTGGTAACAATCCTTTCTTTGGGAATCAGTTGGTGATTATTTTCCAGCAGTGCTGGTCGAACTCTCTGCCTTCCGGCAGAGAGGAACACAGACGAGGCTATGCCAAAGGGCAGAGTTTCGTCTGGTGTGGTAGACAGCTCCACGACCCCGTGTATACGGGGTCTACGGGGAATATTTGGTCGAGCCTATGGGCTCGGTTTTGCCCCGCATTAAAAAACGAACTTGTGTCTCATAACCTTGCTTTTGTAATCAATAGCCTGCTATCCGATTCACTGTTTTTTCAGTGGCGAATTCTCTTTAACAATAAACGTTTCATCTACGCGCGTTTTGCTGTTCCTTCAATCGAGAACCACCTTTGTTTGCAACCTCTTTTAGGATACAATGCAAGAAAGACGTGTCCAAATTGAAAATTCAATTTTCAATATTTCTTTTCAGTTCTCTCTCAAATTAACGATAGTTTTCGGAGTTTTTACATTGTTTTTTTTTTATTTACTGCAACAGAAGAATCCATTTAATATAGTTTATTTTCTACAAACTCAATAGCTATGGTGTCCCTGGTCGGATATTTGACTTGATCCACTCAATTTTAAGAAAATCAGATAATGAATGTCCTGTTGAAAGAATCAAGAAGAGAATTCCAAAGGTGAAATGTGTGATTAAAGAAACTGTTAGAATATAATTTACGGTTACATATAGTTATTTCAACAGTAAAACGGTGAGATCTACTTGCCAGTCTAGCAGCACGTTTAATTTTATGCGGGAAAGGTAACGCTGAAGTTGTCTTATTAAAACAACTACCACGAATATTTTATTTTAGAATATGGAATCGATGGAGGAAATCTACGTAATGGCGATGGTAAAGTGACTGAAATTGAGATGCCAGATCAGGGTCAAAAACATTACAGACGCTTCTTTGGATTTTATCGAAAGTCTCGATGTATATACCGGAGCAGCAAACCAGATATAACAGTAATATTAAATGCATAGAAGAATGGTAGATTTGCAAATGTTCATGATGGGTTGAGACGGGAAATTTGTCTGGTTCTACACAGTGAACCAACTTTTCTTTTTTTTTCTTTATTTTATTTTATTTTTTTGCTAACGGCAGGCCTAGCGATTGATTCAATATAATCACTCAAATTCATGTTAGTAGAAAACGTGAAACCAAGATGGCGTAATGAGTTGGTCTCTTCGATATCAACATCTGCCATTCTTATAGCGACCGAAAATGGTTCTCTATGTTTTATTAAAGATAGCAGTTTCGTTTTGGGGGAGTTAAAATTTACAAAACATTTCTTGTTCCAGTTTAACTGATTTGAAGTAATATTCGAGAGGAGCTACCTGTTTTATCTTGTCGTCCCGATTAAACTTCATGATATTCTCTTGTTTTAATAGTAAGTCATCAGCATAAATACTTAGTATTCATCGATGTCATCAGTTCCAAACTATCATAAATGATGTTTACATATAGGCTAGGGTCAATAATGGACGCAGTAGGAATTATATTTGTTAAGGTTGCTGCGACGATCATGGATGGAGCGTTTAAATAATGGGATAATTTCAAAGAAAATGGAAACGAAAAGCTTGTAGATTAGCGATCGGAAATGCCCCGATTGCCCGAAATCAGTATGTGGTCAAAAGAGGCCCACTAATATGTAGTTTTAATTAATTAAAGACGTGAACTCTGAGAGGTGAATGAAAATGGACAGGAAGAGTATTACGACTAGGTTCGTAACACAAAAGGAACTAAATAGTCATTAGATCAATTCTAAAACTAAATTAAATGAAATTACATAGTGTGTAGGGAACACGATGAAAAGGTCAATGTCTTAGTGTTCTATTCGTTCCTGTTTCGGAATGACCAACGGAGACTGTGACTAGAAAAAAGAGAAATTTTAAAAAACTTTTGGACACATAATGAGGTTTTGTAGAATTTCACACTTACAGGACACATCAGAGCCAAAAGAGACAGTAAGCAGGGGGTCACTTAACTAAAAAGCCTATGTGAACGGATGACAAAATTGAGAAAACGGGGAGGGTAAAAGAACAATATTACTAAGAGATGCACAGGATAGGAGGTTGTGGAGAGCTTTGATTGACTATGGCATGAAAGGATACGGCAGATACATTATATTTATTGAATCTGCTTTCGTTGTAAACATAGTAATAGAAACAAAGGTGGAGGTGGCAGCGGTGGTCGGCATTTATTTTTTATTTTTATTTTTTTTCTAATTTCTGTTATTGCCGAATTTTCGTTGCCGATAAAGTCGGGGCGGTTACAGTGGTGAGGAAGTGAAGGGAGTCTTCTTTCTTCATCATCAACAATTTTTTGAATCGAAATATGAGCGAAAAGCCTTGACCCTGAGAGAAAACAAATTGAAATATATCTCATAAAGGAAATTTTGGCATTTTTGACTGACAACCGAGGCATAGCGCGTGACTCGTTCATTTGATACAATCATTCAAACATGCTCCTTACCATTGTAGTCTGACCAAATATCGTCATTTATATATATATATTTTTACTATAATTCTTTTTTTTTCAGTTTTTTCATTTTATATATATATATATATATATATATATATATATATATATATATATATATATGAGAGAGAGAGAGAGAGTTTTTTTACATTCTGTATTTCCCATGTGTGCTTAATCCCCCTTTATTTATTTACTTCTCTCGCTCTGGATTAAGGCCGTATCACTCTAAAACACCAGTTCCCGGACGATCACCGTTAAGAAAAGTCGAGCCGACTCGATAACGAGATGGGTTACCACTTGAGATCACAGGGTGGTGGTGTAATGGGATATAGCAAGGAACTGGTAATCGCTGTGATGAGAAACCACATATGCACCAGCCAGCTATAGTTTAATTAGTAAGACGCGTAACACTAAATCGTTATCACCAAAAGTAAGACTGACACAATAAACATTTCCTGTCTTTAAATAAAGTGTTGATAAGCCGTAAAAATGAATCATTCATTTAATTATCGCTCTCTCTTTTCATGATTACATCACTCTGTTTGCGTGCTTACATCTCATTCTAAGTGCTTACATCTACTTCTGGGTGCTTACATCTCCTTCTCCGTGCTTACAGCCCTCACACTGCGTGCTTACATTATCTCTCTCTGGGTGCTTACATAATTCTCTCTCTCTCTGCGTGCTTACATATCTCTCTCTGCAAGTTTACATATCTCTCTCTCTCTCTCTCTTTGCTTGCTTACACACTTCTCTCTTTTTTGCGTGCTTACATCCCTCTTTTTGCGTGCTTACATACTCCCTCTGTCTTTGCGTGCCTACACCTCTCTCTCTCTCTCTCTGTCTGCGTGTTTACATCTCCCTCACTTTCTCTCTCTCCCTTTGCGTGCTTACACCTCTCTCTCTCTCTCCCTCTCTTTGCGTGCTTATACATACTTCTCTCTGCTTGCTTACATCAGTCTCTCGCGTGCTTATATCTTTCTTTGTTAACCTTATATTTCTCACATTTCTCTCTCCCACTCTCTTTTCGCTTACATTTCTCTCTCTTTTGCGTGCTTACATTTCTCTCTCTCTCCCCGCTCTCTCTCTCTCCCCCCTCTCTCTCCCCCCCCTCTCTCTCTCCCCCCCTCTGCGTGTTTACATTTATCTCTCTTTCTTTACGTGCGTACATCGCTCTCCCTCTCTCTTTGCGTGCTTACATCTCTCTCTCTCGCTCTCTCTTTGGCTGCTTACACTTTTCTCTCTTTTGCGTGTTACACACACACACACACACACACACACATATATATATATATATATATATATATATATATATATATATATATAGTCCTAAATATCCTCTCTCTTTACTTTCTTATATCTCCCTGTCTTTGCGTGCTTATATATCTGTTTGATTGCTTACATCTCTCTCCCTCTTTATTCACTTACATCTCTCTGACTTTGTTCATTTCCATCTCTCTCTCTCTCTCTCTCTCTCTTTGTTAGCTTACATCTCGCTCTCTCTTTGTTCGCTTACATCTTGCTCTCTCTCTTTGTTTACTTACATCTCACTCTCTCTCTCTCTTTTCGCTTACATCTCTCTCTCTTTTCGCTTACATCTCTCTCTCTCTCTGTTCGCTTACACCTCTCTCTCTATGTTCGCTTTCATCTCTCTCTTTGTTCGCTTACCTCTCACTTTCTCTCTCTCTCTCTTTGCTCGCTTACATCTTGCTCTCTCTCTTTGTTTTACTACATCTCTCTCTCTTTTCAACTCTCTCTCTCTCTCTTTTCGCTTACAAATCTCTCTTTTCGCTTACCTCTCTCTCTCTATGTTCCTTTCATCTCTCTCTTTGTTCCTTACCTCTCCTTTCTCTCTCTCTCTCTTTGCTCGCTTACATCTTGCTCTCTCTCTTTGTTTACTTACATCTCACTCTCTCTCTCTTTTCGCTTACATCTCTCTCTCTTTTCGCTTACATCTCTCTCTCTCTGTTCTTACATCTCTCTCTTTGTTCACCTCTCTCTCTCTTTGTTCGCTTACATCCTCTCTCTCTTTATTCGCTTATCTCTCTCTCTCTTTCTTATATCTCTCTCTGTTCACACCTCTCTCTCTATGTTAGCTTTCATCTCTCTCTTTGTTCCTTACCTCTCCTTTTCTCTCTCTCTCTCTCTTTGCTTTACATCTTGCTCTCTCTCTTTGTTTGTTTACATCTCCTCTCTCTCTCTTTTCGCTTACATCTCTCTCTTTTCGCTTACACCTCTCTCTCTATGTTCGCTTACATCTCTCTCTTTGTTCGCTTACCTCTCACTCTCTCTTTGTTAGCTTACATCTTGCTCTCTCTCTTTATTCGCTTACATCTCTCTCTCTTCGTTCGCTTACATCTTGCTCGCCCTCTCTTTGTTCACTTACATCTCGCCCTCTCTCTCCCCTCTCTCTCTTTCTATCTCTCTCTTTGTTAGCTTACATCTCGCTCTCTCTTTGTTCGCTTACATCTCGCTCTCTCTTTGCTCGCTTACATCTTGCTCTCTCTCTTTGTTTACTTACATCTCACTCTCTCTCTCTTTTCGCTTACATCTCTCTCTCTCTCTCTTTTCGCTTACATCTCTCTCTTTTCGCTTATATCTCTCTCTCTCTGTTCGCTTACACCTCTCTCTCTATGTTCGCTTTCATCTCTCTCTTTGTTCGCTTACCTCTCACTTTCTCTCTCTCTCTCTCTTTGCTCGCTTACATCTTGCTCTCTCTCTTTGTTTACTTACATCTCACTCTCTCTCTCTTTTCGCTTACATCTCTCTCTTTTCGCTTACACCTCTCTCTCTATGTTCGCTTACATCTCTCTCTTTGTTCGCTTACCTCTCACTCTCTCTTTGTTCGCTTACATCTTGCTCTCTCTCTTTATTCGCTTACATCTCTCTCTCTTTGTTCGCTTACATCTCTCTCTCTTGGTTCGCTTACATCTTGCTCGCCCTCTCTTTGTTCACTTACATCTCGCCCTCTCTCTCCCCTCTCTCTCTCTCTCTCTCTTTGTTCACTTACATCTCGCTCGCCCTCTTTTTGTTCGCTTTCATTTCGCTCTCTCTTTGAGTACTTGCATGTCGTTTTCTCTCTCTCTCTCTCTCTCTCTCTTAGTTCACTTACATCTCTCTGTCTCTTTGAGTACTTACCTCTCTCTTTATATACTTACTTATCGCTCTCCCTCTCTCTTTATGTGCTTACAAGAACTTTTACTTCAACATCCACTCGCAGAAAAAGGAATCCTTCTTCAGTTCAAAATGTGTTTTGCCTTTAAATAATCAACAGACTGGTCAGCCGTAACGATCAATCAGTCTAAAATATCAGTCATTATACTTCACAGTTACAATATAGTCTGATACGCTATCTTTACTTTCCAGGAAAAATGGTAAAAATATTTAGCATTTATTGCATAACTTATAAATGATAAGAGTGTATTAATAACTGATCGTATAATATTTGTTTTGTATTCGTTTGGTAGAAACATTCGTTTCACGTTTTCTTCCCCATCTTGTGACGTGGAGATGCTTTTCCTTTTTCGCTGTCTGCCACATGTTGTCGATCTTTCTTAGTTATAGTCAATGTGGGCAACTAATAACGTTTGTGACAAAATGGGGGCAAAAGGGGAGATGAATTGTGTCAATGGATTTAGGAGTTGATGGAAAACAAAAAAGAATGCGATAACCTTGGATCTAGATTTGAACAGTGAAGAAAATGTGTGAAGAAATGAACCCAGAATCACGTATAACCCAAATTCTGTTTACGATAACAAGTCGTAATCAGTTATTATCAAAACCGAAAGGGAATTAAGTTAAAAAAAAATAAGATCTGCCAGACGACAGTCTCTGGGCTTAGAATTTCTCTGATTTCAGTAGATAAATACATGTTTAATACCCACTACGCTTGCCAAAGGTGGAGTGCAACCCCAAAATATTTTAAAACAATATTTAAATAGACTTAAAGTCACATTACGCTGAAACGCCACTATGATCAGCGAAGTTAAGCAACATCGAGCCTAGTCGCTGTTTAGATGGGTGACCTCTATGAATATCATGTACTATAAGCTTGGATGTGTGGTTGGTATAATGAATAATGGTTGTGAACGTGCCGAGATCTAATCCCATTTTGGTTCATTATATTCCTTTACGAGCCTCCCTACCTGCTTTGGGTCAATTAGTAAAACTTGTACCATCATTTTCTCAAGAAATCTTAGAATTTCAAAATAGTTCCTGGCTTTAAGTAGCCTTCAAAGATATCTGTCTAAAAATCTCCCGATCCGACCAAGCATAAAGATTAGGAGAACGGACCAGTATTCCAATAGATAATCTGATGGAGATGTTTACTTTCTGTACACAAAAAAAACACACTTCGGAATAGGATCACAGATATATCGACAGGATGAGTGCTTAGCGCTGGGCTCGCCATTATCACTAGCAATGGCGAATATATACATGGAATATTTTGAGGAAATGGCATTAGAATATATATCTCTAAAGCCAACTATATGGTTAAGGTACGTAGATGACACCTTCATACTCTGGCCCCACCAAGAAAATGTTCAGGTTCTACTGGATCATGTGAACTCAAGAAGACCTTCGATACAGTTCACGATGAAGAAAGAAAGTAACAACACACTCCTATTCCTGGATGTTCTAATATCTCGAACAGAGCATCCGTATACCGTAAACCGACAATCACCGGACAGTACCTCAATTTCAACTCCCACCATCCATACAGCGTAAAGAAAGAGATCGTCCGCTGCTTACAATACCGAGCAAAAGTCATAAGTGGCGACCTAGAGACATTAAATAAAGAATTGGTCTGTATAAGTAGTACTCTTAAAACGTAACAACTACCCTGGGTACATGGCAGCAGCCCCCCCAAAATGTGATAAGCAGATACAAGAGGAGGACAACAACACTCGGAAAACAGTCTGTTTGCCTTATGTGAAGGGGTTATCAGAGAAAATACAAAGGATCTGAGGTCCATATAACATCAAGACAACCTTCAAAAGCTTGACGACACTTCGCAGATATCTCTCTCGAGTAAGACTCCCCCGTAGAGGAGAACATGTCTAAAGACTGTGTGTACGCTATCCCGTGCAGCTGCGGAAAGAAATATAAAGGGGAGACATGCCGCTCCCTTAAGGTAAGAGAACCAGAAAACTGTAACACGAGGGGAATTAGAAAAACCAAGCGTGGCTGACTACATATGGAGAGAGAAAGAAGATCACCGTCCTCTGTGGGATCAGGTTGAGATCATAGACAGAGAACACCATTGGAAAATTCGTAAACTTAAAGGAATCAGCCCATATGGTAGGCCACATAAAATCTCCTGAGCTGACCAAGCATAGAAATAAATACAATATGGGAACCAGGAATAAGGAGTGCCAGAGAAAAGCGATAATAATAAAAGAAAATGCAATATGAGCTCTGGTAAAAACATGCTTTGATAACAGCAAAAAATTGTAATATGAGCACTGGTAAAAATGGTTGCTGAAGAGATTATATTTATAATACCCATAAATTCTTACCCAGATGTCCTCAAGGACACAAGGCACAGTGGATAAAGGCTTCAGTTAGACAGGACAGACCTAAAGAGTGTGAATTTGTAGTGAACCATTATGTTGACTATTTGCTTTCCTTCGCAAAATCACGTCGGCGGTCACCATTATGTAGAGGACCGGGGGGGTTGAAGATGTAAAGAAAACTCGTGTTCTTATTTTTCCTGCTAGAAGGTCCAGCTACAATGGAATGTTGGACTTGGATTAAGTCCAACTGAAGGTATGGAAGAAAAACAAATATATATATATATAAACAAATATATGTATTAAACAAAACATTTACAAAGCACATAGACAGTTATCATTGTGTTTGTGTGAGTGTGTGAACGTTCGTATTTTGGTGAATGTTCGTTGTGAAGGTTCGTAGGTACGTGTAAGTTGGCAATGTTCTTTAACATCTGATCGCAAAGTCAAGACGATAATTCTCTGGGACTACATTTTACAGAAAGAATAGAGAAGAAAGCGTGAAAGAGGCAAACTCGTGTTTGTTTTTATAGATAACATAATCACGTGACAGGATCACAGCTCTTTGGCGGGAAACTTGACTTAGTCACGCGCTGGAAAAACATATTATGCGTGGGTGGATTGCAACGCCCATTTGTGTGTTTATTGACCAATTAGAAGTTGATATTTCCTGAAAAATATTTACTAAGCTAAGAAGGCTCTTGGGATCCGATTCTCCCAGAAGTGCACAAAATCTACCGTACGAAACTATAGCGATTTCAAAATTGTCGCATAAGATAACAGCGTTGATTTCTATCCAATGAATGATTGTTATTGAAATTTGAATTTGTGTAGGTATGTATGTATGTGTGTGAGAGTCATTATCATAAATTCAGTACCAGGCTAAGGCAGTGGAGAACTTTCAGAAGAGAATTAACAGAAAATAACTGATAAATGACATACATTTACATGTCACATGGAACTAGAACAGTCTACCCCAGTGAGCGAAATAAAGGTTTTAGTTCGACATTTCAACCACCTGAAGAAGGCCGGAGCGTACAACGGTCGAAACGTCGTAATAAATATGGCGACAAAGATGAGGACAATATTCCGAGTAAGATAAATAATGCCAATCCTTATCTATTGTGTTTTTGATTACACTTCTTCTATTATTCTCGTTCCTTAATCACGATTCTCTTTTACTTATTCCTTCAAACTCAGTAACCTCTTGTGCTTTAGTGGCTTTACTCTCTTGCATGGAGCGAAATAATTAAAAAACGAATTTAGAAAAACGGTGTGGGAAAGATCATGTAAAGCTAACACTGACTGCAAAGGAACCGAAATAAAAGGTTAGAAATAATTAATACATTATTTCTAGTCACATAGATTCATGTGTCCTTTCACAAGAAAATATCCATTCATATTCGGTAATATCAAAACACTCGCAACCTGTCATACTTTTTACGTTCAGCTTTTCTATGACAATTTCCTACCACCATCTTTTTTTTCAATTCTCGACAACTAATTCAGGAAACTGTGATGCGAAGTGTGGACAAAGCTGAGCATGCGCAAATACACAACGTTGTCTTTTCAAATATCGACCATGCTTTTATCAGCCATTGTTGTATGACCTGGCGCACTCTTTTGGCAAAATACGCTTATTAATGTGCGCCATGATCGAGGTTTCAGAAGAAAGGTCAACATGAGTTATTCACAAAGGGGCTTTTGAGGATTGGTTCAGTCCATCTACAAATTAGGCACGACCCAGTCGGCACTGGTGAAAAGGTCCAAGTTCGTTTGGTGAGCGCTCGAAATAATGAAAGAGAGATATCGTTCGATAAGTATATTATAGTGGAGAATATTTAAGAAAGATTTCTCTCTCTCTCTCTCTCTCGAAGTGAAGAAAGGGTACACTATAAGTAAAAGAGTAAATAATTGAAACTCATATAGGATCTATCTCTAACGATATGGGTAAAATTGCTATTTTCTTATACCACGCTCTAAATTACCCGAGTCCTACTGCTAAGTCGTATCTTTGTTAGACCCAGATCAGACCAAAAATGGCGTACTGCTGAGACGAACAAATCCTCACTTTATTTTCATGATAATTCACAACCTTGTTTATTTTACACACTACGACTTTCCAACAGACGGAACGTTGCAAGATTCTCGCTACGTCATAGGTGGAAAGTATTAAAACTACATCCCTTAATTCGGACATTTCGTACCTTCGCGGCTAAGATCTGCCACGTCACGCCCAAGGTAGCGAACCAGCCTCATTACCTTACTATTCCATTGGTGAGATGTAAGTTTAACTCGAGCAGCCTCTTCGACGAAGGGCTTCTTTGTGGAATCGATTCCCAAGAGGATGCTTCCGCAATCCCTACAACCAGTCTCTTAGTTGCCATGCGTCATACCCGCTTAGGTGATAATTAATCTTTCGATACATGACTGACGAGGCAGATTGTTTCCCGCAATAGGTTGCCATTTCTTTCTGCGGTAGATCAATTGCCAAACAAAGCTATAGAATCCGGCCAGTCCTACTATTTACCCATAGCTGTGGGGAGAAGAGGAGGTTTCATACCCTCCCAAGGATATTAGCACGTAAGTGAATGTAGTAGATTCGACCGGAATTCGAACTCGGCTCTCCGAGTCCTCAGTCCGAGTTTCTGCATAAAAGAAACAACCAT